ATATACATGTATGTATTTTCTAACTACAAACAGGACTGTTTCAGCCTTCTGGGCCTAATCAGTGCAGTGCTGATACTGGAGTTGAGGTTTGGCTATATAGCTGCCTCATATGATCCCTCATATGTGGTATCATCGTACCATGTCTGAGTGCTCAAACTAGCAAGCTTGCGAGCTACGCATACACACTAATGACAATGGTACACTCCAACAAGGTATGAGCCAAGGAGCATAACTAACTGCAAACAGGACTGTTTAGGCTTTCCGGGCCTCATCAGTATTTCCTATATATATGTCTCCAGAAATGACGATGCATCTTTTTACCTTTAATATAATTCGGAATGGACAGATTTGAAGGCTCCATTTTCTACTTTGATCTATAACACTGTCATTGATAAGCTTGGAGCTAAAAAGTTCCAGTTTTTGAGGCTGAGGTACGATAATGGATAGTATACCTTATCCTTTAAGCAACTAATAATACAGCAAAGAATGATTAATCTTTTGAATGCATATCAATCAAAATATATCAACATCAATGAGCAAAAACAATCCAGAATAAAAATTCAATAAAAATCAAATCAATCAGCAATCTTATTTATTTCTTTATTGAAGTGTGGTAATATTTATTATATCAATTGTCAAGGATTCCTAACTTACTTTCTCATTATTACTCTGATAACCTCTTCACCTTGTCTTTACTAATCAGATAATTATTATTCTGTACTTGATTTCACTTGATTGAACACTCCAAGGAGTCCAAGTTGACAGAAAACTGTTAATAAGTTAGATATTAACACTATCATTTATTATATTTATTGAATCAACTGTTTCATCTTAGACATGTTTGGCATAGCGTTAGATGTCAATATGATCTAGAAAAATGCCATTTATTTGACTTCAATGGCATATTTTCCAGAGTGTACACTTTGTCCTCCCTTTAATGATAATATTTAAAACAATTTACAGCATTGATATAGATATGCAACAAGAATGTTACTTATTTATACCATTTGAAATGTATTATAAATGTGGTAAATGCACTACCAGATAATTATAATACCGTATTAAACAAGAGCTATTAAATTTTGAAAGTGATTTTTTTTCTTCTGATTTCTGGTAAATTGAGGTAGGATGATCCATAAATAAATTGGTCTGGCCTAAACTAACAATTAATCAAGGTTCTCAGCTACAAGCGGCATATAAAGGATTCCTCAACATTTGGAATTTAAATCTTATGATGAGTACATGATGCCCAATCCGTGAAATCATTGACAAACTTGAAGTTTCAGTAAGATTCATTAGGTTGTTTTACGGTTTAAATTCTGGCATGCACACTTAGCTTAAACTTTTAATGCATGCTGAGATTCATTTTCTTTGAACCTTTGATAGTCAAGTTATAGGAATTTTCAAGAAGAGTTTATCTCAATTGGTTCAAGTATTTAGTAAGTAGGTAAATCCATAAAGCACAAGCGATACCCTAAGGAAATGAAGTGCAAAGGTGACCCTATCTTTTTATGACTTTGGAAACATTAAAATCAGGCCTTGTCTCTTCTTGGTGGCTATTGTGAAGACTTGTGGAAAAAAAAAATTAATGGCGATGAAACTCTGCATATTGTGAAATACTGACAGTTTATGTACAGTTGACAGAAAATAAAGCCATCAAATGGCTGCTTTGACACAGTTTTGTGGCACATGACTTCAATTTCTTTGCACTGTTTAAGCAATATATATTCATCTTTTTCTGAATTTTCCAAATCTTTATTAGTTCACTGCAGCATTTTCAAAATTGTTTAACCGTAAGTTATGTAATGACATGACATGACATGATATTTAACTTGGCCATAGATCAACTCATGCAGTTGGAAAAACTTTGAACAACAACTTGATTTGATACTTGGCCGAAGTCTGAATGATGAATTTGATAATTTGAGGGGCAAAACAACAAGTTTTTGCCCAAATAGCTCATTAATTTGTCTCTGATTTGTTCATGCCCAATTCCTTTCATTTTACCAGAAGTTTAGGGAACCATTAACAAATTGTTAAAAATAGTTAAGACATGTATAAAGAAATCGTAACCGCTCTGCTTCTGTTGAGTTTGTCCTAGATAAATATTACAGCTGACTTGGTTTAAATCTGAAAATTTCTGTTATGTAAAAAGAAATAAGAACCATTTTTTTAAATCATTTCAGTCCTTTAATTATCAATTTATTCTGGAAATAAATCAGAAAATAGCTCAACAGCTTCCAGTCATATACAGGTTTAAAAACATAAAAAGTTCATCATAAGTGTGCTGTTAATAATACCTTAAAGAATGTTGATTATAGGCAAGTCCTGTAGCTACTCTCATGTCAATGTTTCCATAGCCTAATGATATATTTTTGTAAATACTTCCCTGTAAATAGTGTTTAGAAAGGAACTTTTAAGTCTTCACTATGATCTGGAAGACCAGTAATTCTATTTGTGTGATCAATTGTACCCTATTCAATCAATAGTTCAGTCAATAGGGAAGTTAATATTTCCTTGTAAATAGTGTAGATAAAGGAACTTTTAAGTCTTCTGTATGCTCTGGAAGAATTCTGCAACGTTTTCAACAAAACATAGCTCAATAGCACCAGTAATTCTATCTGTGCCCACTCACTTCCCTTGAAGACAAATAAATAAACGATAGCCTTGGAGGATATTATATTATTTCTTTACTTGTAAAAAATGTAATAAATGATGAAAAATTGTATAAATTAGTTAATAACAAATACAGACTTAATAAACAAACAGAATAGATTGTGTCAGAGCTTAACAAAAACATTAAATCCCACCATACAAACAAACTAAAACTAAAACAACAGAATACTGAAGATGGATTAGGGAGGCGATGGCCAAACTGAATCTAATTCCTGTTTGATGTCAGCGGACAATCCACTGAGTCATCTTGCTGGCCAATGACTGAGAAAGTCAATGGTACTCAATCCTGTACGCATCAGTAATCTGCGAAATTTGAAAGATAAACAGATCAAAAAATGGCCTATCTGTCCCTTTAAAGTAATGTTTATCTGTGTGATACCCTATTCTCAGAAATGTGATTTTTTTCATCTAAGCTAATCAGTGATAATCTGCACACCTTATTGTCAAAATTTGATCTGAATTTGATTTGATGTATTCATAACTATCTGCATTTGGAAATTAGATTTATGATCCATTCTCTACCATATTGCAGGGCAGTTAAGTTCATTAATAGGTTTTCAAAAATAACTTCAGCTGCCAGTTAGTTGGAGATGAGATGTATATCACATAACATTTTAATTGTAAGACTATTTCTTCTAGAGCATGTGTGCACTATATTTTCTATAGACCTTGGCGACAAGACATACAGTATTCAGAAATTGAAATTTCTAGTTTGAGTTATATTTGAAGGATCCGTGTGAGTTTGGTAAAGTTCTAATACTTCTGAAGACTATATCTACATATATTCAAATACAACATTAACCTCCAAAAGTATCAGTTGTTCCCCTTAAATTGTTCTCAAAGGTTCTTCACCCCCTTCTTATTGATGTCTTTCCTTATTATCTTATAAAAATTGTACAGAGACCACACATTTCAACTGTGCTTAAGGAATAAGGATAAAGGTCGAACTAGTGCACTTATCAACAATTAGATCCAGAGTTATCACCCTTGATACCTATTGACTTAGTAATTTCAGGCTAAGACAATTTGTCACAATTATATAATGTTTCAGTGCCATTTTAAGAACATTTTAATTCCTCCCAAATTCGTTTTGCTTTCAGCTGTGATTTGTTTTTATACTGCAATCCTTTTAGGAAAACCTCCAGACTCTATAAATAACATATGAGCTATGTATTTCTGTTTAATGTAGTGATGCATCTAAACTGGGATTAAAATTCAATCTCTAAAACATATTATAAAATTTACAATTGATCAATGACATGATTATCCACATGAAGTACAGTTTAAATCATTAAAGTTGTTCAAAAAATAGGACATTCTAATGATGCAGTGTTATGCCCTAGGTTTGAAATATAGTTTGCTGAAAGAAGTTGAAGTTTCAGATAGAAACAAAAAGATCAATATCTTTTTCATGTTGAAAAGCTCTTCGTAGATGTTTCTACACATTAGGATTTTTCTTTCTGAGTAAAAATGATGTTACTTAGATTATGAGCAAAGTCGCATACTGCTGATATTCTTGTTCAATAGTTAACCACTTATGGACATATTTCTGAAAATTATGTGTCAAGAAAGACAATCTCTTTGATTTCTCAATGCCCTGAAGCCATTGGTAAACTTTGAACCACAAATTTAATGAACAGACTTCTGTCAAATGATTGCAGACAGTTCTATTACTAGAAAGCTGTCAGTGTATGTTACTTGTCTCAGTGGTTTTCTTTTATGAAAATTAATGACTGAGTTCCATCTGCCTGTTTGAAAAGCCAATGCTTAAAGAGGCAGTCTGATTTTTTTAGTTGATTGAAAAAGTTACTTGCTCAAATTAATGAAGATAATGTGGTCTACAATATCTGAAAGTTTTAACAACAAAAATCCTGCCGTTAGTTTTTTAACACCAAAACTATTTTAACAGTTATGTAAACTCTTTAAGTTAGAAATTTTTGGGGAACAACTGAACAGATTTAAGCAAAATAAAAGCCAAATTGAAAAGAAATGTGTCTCTTGAGGTTTCAACTGAAAATATTGAGGTTTTTTGAGGTCCATGCCAAAACAAGTTTAAACAGCTTACTTAACAATGAGTACATTCTGTTTTATTAACTGTTTAAAAACAAATTTGATCGATCGATATATACAAATACATAACATTTTTAGAAATATTTTCAGGTATAATTACTAATGATGAAAATTATGCATACTAACCCTTTAAAATATCTTTCGTTAAAACTTTAATACCTGTGTTAGCTGTAGAACAACATCAATACTTTAATGTCAACAAGATCAAAGACTGAATTATTTGTTATTTCAGGCTCTAATTAATTTGTTACAAGGTGATCGCTTTTCATCCTGTCAATCTATTATTATATACTGTACTAGAAGAGAACAAGCTAATCGTGTAGCAACCTATATTAGGACCTGTTTACAGAAACCTGAAGACTCTCAACCTTCCAGTAAATGTTGTTTTTGTAATCTATCTCTTGGTAGAGGAATTCTTGTCTTCGCACAGAGTTTATTGAAAATGTGCAATTACATGCTTCACAGAATATATTCAACTAAATAAATGTTTTCATGTTGTAGAAACATTATTGCATATCCAAAAATATACTTAAATATCCAGAAGTCACAAGGTCTAATTGCAATTTTAAGGACAAAGTGCACTTGTTTTTTCGAGCTTTTACAAAACACAAGGAGAAGTATCCCACTTGAGTGTCTTAATATCTGACAACAGTGTCCCAATTTGAGATGATGGTACAAGGAAACGGGTGGTGAGCGGTAGGATTGCATGTGGTTATCAAAACTGTACAGCAAAGGATAACTCTATAAATAAGAATATTTTTTTATTTATTTATAGTAACACCAGGAAAAAAAGGAAAAAAGAAAAGCCCTGTATGGTCAGCAGAATGTTACCATGCTGGGTTAACTGCAGCTCAGAGGAAAAGAGTCCAAAAGAATTTTATGAGTGGTAAATTACGTGTTGTTGTAGCAACTGTAGCCTTTGGTATGGGTTTAGATAAATCTGATGTTCGAGCTGTCATACATTATAATATGCCTAAAAGTTTTGAAAGTTATGTTCAAGAAATTGGAAGAGCAGGTCGAGATCGTCAACTGTCACATTGTCATCTATTTTTAGATCCAGAGGTGAGTTGACCACTTTGAATTAAAAAAATCCCTGAATTGCTTGTTTTATGTATAACCTGGTCTGCCATTCCATCCTTAAGCTTTTCCCTGATTGAATGGATTTAAGATTTGTCACCTTGGCATCAATTGGAAAAATCTTGCAACCCATGATGCACTGGTCTGGAAAAAAGCAAGTTGACTTGAAGCAAACCGAAAGCTGACGGTGGGATTTTGGCCGTACCTGATACCTTGATTCATTCAATACCCAGTGTTTATTTAGTAGCCTTTAACCTAACACAAGTGAGAGCTTCAACCAGGAAACAAAGTGTAACACCAAAGATAACAAAATAAAGTCTGTCTATTGGCTGATTCATTGTCTATCCTCAATAAACCACGGCTTTGTCAACTACAAGTTTTGCATGCTTTATATCCCACAATAATTGAAAATTTAAAAAAATAAGGTCTTTCTGCCCTGACAAAATTATTTTTCTTGCCTCCTGATAATTCAAGAAAAGATGTATGTAAAACTCATTTAGTCTTTGGAAATTTATATTCATTTCTAGTAATTACAAAAACTCTATCGATTTTCAAATTTTCAGCTCTTGTCATGCCTTATATCCGTTTTCTGATGTGGGTGGATAAGAACAATTTTCTAGAAATTTTTCTAAAAGTTAATAAGGTTCCTTAATAATTCAGTCTCCCTTTAATTTGAATTTGAATATAGCATATTGTCAAAGGCTGGAGGATAATTGACTTTTTATAGATATATGGCCTGTAGTGATTGGCTATTAAATATCTAGAGAATAAAAGGTTGGACTTTTTCGTTGGTACAGATGAGACACAATATTCATTATAATTGTGTTGTGATCTCAAATGAGATTAGATGTAAAGAATTATTATGACCTTGTGAAAATTGTAACGAATATATCATTCTTGCATAATACTGTCTTAAAAGAGAGTGCGCGACGGAATCGTCTTTCCCAATGTTCAACAATTTATAGCCTTGGGTTATTATTGAGAAGTCAACTTTGGTTCTTCGAATAACGACTATAGAGGGAGTAATTTTTTGATTTATGGACTTCATTTACTTATACATTTTTTGAAAAATGTCTGATTCTTAAAAGATTTCACAATTTAACCATTTATTTCAAAATATATCCTTTCAATTGGCGCCTAAAGGAACATAATAAAATACAATAATACCTCATAATGAGACTAATTATTATTCTATTTCTGGAATATCAACAGCTTTTACATGTATGGATAACATTCAAAGGAAAACTTAACCTTAAATTAACAGGAAAAAAAAAATTCTTCTTTTGATGAAGACAAGAGTTTGCATGGAACAAAGTTGAGGATGTGTGTTAATGACCTAACTATTTAAATTTTCAAGAAGTAGGCAAATTATTGTTTTTTATGTTTAGCTTTGTGTGTCAACAAACTTATTGCAGTCTGACTGCACTTTAAAATGAGTCATGTTCAGTCTGACTGCTCTTTAAAATGAGTCATGTTCAGTCTGACTGCACTTTAAAATGAGTCATGTTCAGTCTGACTGCACTTTAAAATGAGTCATGTTCAGTCTGACTGCTCTTTAAAATGAGTCATGTTCAGTCTGACTGCACTTTAAAATGAGTCATGTTCAGTCTGACTGCTCTTTAAAATGAGTCATGTTCAGTCTGACTGCACTTTGAAATGAGTCATGTTCAGTCTGACTGCACTTTGAAATGAGTCATGTTCAGCCTGACTGCTCTATAAAATGAGTCATGTTCAGTCTGACTGCTCTTTAAAATGAGTCATGTTCAGTCTAACTGCTCTTTAAAATGAGTCATGTTCAGTCTGACTGCTCTTTAAAATGAGTCATGTTCAGTCTGACTGCACTTTGAAATGAGTCATGTTCAGCCTGACTGCTCTATAAAATGAACCTTGTTAAGTCTGACTGCACTTTGAAATGAGTCATGTTCAGTCTAACAAGGCTTGATTTTTCGATAAATATTCCCAGTACTAAACCTAATTTACTATTTACTGTTCGTATAACTTTGGAATTCCAAAAGGAGCTAAGAAGAACCAATGTTGATATGATGCAATGCTTTTTTTTATCATTACAAAAATATAGTGACAATAACAAATTGTTTTCCAGGAAATAACAGGTATTTTGTAGTTTGACCAGACTGATCTTGAATTGATTTTTTTTTACAGCCTATTTTTAGACAAATTACAGACACTTTACTTTTAGTTTCTTTAAGTTAGAAAAAAAAACCAATGTCATTAAAATTCTTAAAAAAAAAAGATAGCTTTATATTATCAGACTATGTTTTTAAATCTTATTGAACCTTCATCTATCTTAGGAAAGTCTAAACAAAGCTACTATCCTTTATATAGGCTTTTATGAAAGAAAGGTCAATCAACTATTTTTGGTTTTCTTGAATAACTTATATTTTTCTTCAAAGTTTTTGTTAAACTGTTATGACAAGTACATTAAAGGTTATATTATGTTGAGTAAATAGCTGATGATATCTTGACAAGAGAATATAATGGCTTTTCATAAAGACAATACCAAACCTAATTCTATTCTAGTTTGGTCATGCTTCTTTTGTTCAAATATTAGTAGTGGGTGGTCTTGAGCTCAAACCAGAACAAGCTTACTCTTTTTGAAACACTTGATGATACTCTTTGTTTGAAGAGTCCACTACTTTACAATTATTGCACCAAATTTGGTTATGTTTTGGACGAGATTTTTTTTTGCTGGAATTGTTGCATGTACAGATTTTTATCTCTGAAGGGGCAGCAAGAGTTTATGTTTTTTGCAAGGGTCCCAGCAACATCTGTGATAAAAAAAAATTCTTTACCCTTTGCAGACTTATCACCATGCAATATTATAGGATTATCTATTTACCTTCATTATGTCAAGAGTAGGAACCTATCCTACAGAGTGTCCCAATCGGTCTCGCTAAAGCTACACCCCCAGATTAAGTTAGAGACCGGTAGGTGATAGACTCATAAGACAAAATTGGACTTAGACCAATTAATCCCTTTAAAGACATAATGTGATGGTGTCGCTTTCTAATTGTGAGATACAGAGGATCTTGAAACATTATAATAACTTTTATATAAATATTTTTATATGCAAGCTAGACATTAGAATGGAAATGACCAATATTCCATTAGGAAATATGAAGAAACATTTCCTGTCAACAATATTTAGAATACATATAGATTCATATTTCTAGCTTTCAGAGTCTGAATCTCACTTAAAGGGACAGGACACCCAGGTTATAAAAATGTGAAGTCTGAATTTTCATATATCATGATGCTTTTCAAAATATGTAATGTAAGTGTAGTTTGGAGAATTAATATGAGCCTTAAGAATAAAACAAACCTGAATAAGGCAAAAGCGATAGCCAAAATGTCAAAGATTCAAATCTTTGTACTCAAACAATTTATGATGAAACATGATGAAATAATTACTGAAGTCTTAATAAGAGACAAAGAGAATTCGACACATTTCTTGAATTAGAGACAAAGTGGGCATGCCTCTTTAAGTGATGTAGTTAGAAGGCTTAGTTGAAAAAGAGTCTGATTTTCTTAATAGGTCGCTACATTTAAATGTAATTAAGTGTACAGTATACTTGAAGTAATTTGGGGGGTTGTGGAGTCTCAGCTCCGTTCTAAGGGGTCCCTCTTGGCTCCTGGCTAGAGACCCTGTACAGGTGAGACAATTGTAAATTAAATAGGAAAAACAAAATTATCCCTATCGTACTCTGAAATTTCTGAAAAACTTGTGACTAGGTATGTTTCTGTAAATATTCATATGAATAACTATTTCCAATCATGTTTCTTAAAATTATGATGACTGTAAAGTAAAACTTGTTTTGTGCCACACATTTCGAAATCAAATATTTGATCATCTTTAATCAAAAATGGGTCATATGATTGCACAAATGTAAAGTATGATATGACAAGTCTGGTATGTTCAAGACAATATTTGTGATGCTGAAATGCTTTTATTGAAAGCAAAGTTGATTAAATTTTACTTTTTATTTAGATATGTTTGGTTGAATTATAAGTTTTGATACGATTTTAATGTTTGAAATGTTCAGCATTGCAATCTGAAGGTATTTGATATCTAAAAGGTTAATGTATTTTGAATTGATGTCATCAAATATAATAGCAAGAAATGACTGCACAAAAACAATGACTGTCAATAACATGTGCAGTCTAAAATGTGGATTGATGTACTATATCTGAAATTGAATGCTCAACTGTCAGATTTTGTTTACAATAGTTGGAATTATGAAGATTAGGGATGATTCTCTGATCAGAAGATATTGATTAAAAGGCTAGTATGTCACAGCAATGAAACTTGGTATACATTAAATTCAACAATTCCTGATACTAAAGGCATTGTTTCTTTTCAGATCAACTGTTTGAGCGATTCAAGACATTGAAAAGTAGAACCAGAGACACCTGCCTTGCCTTCTTTAGGGGGGTGGGTGGGTGGCTGGGGGAGGGGGCTGACTGCTGAGGAAACCTTCAAGAAAGCTGAATAGATCTGCTTCAAAAAGTGCCACGTTTTCTTTCGACATGACCAGCCTGGTGTTCCAAATTTATCCATAGTGACAAAATGTCTCTGTTCTACTTTCTTAAATCACTCAATCAGCATCAGTTGATCTGAAATGAAACAAATCTGTTAGTATCAGGAAATGTTGAATTTAATATATACCAAATTTCATAGTGACACCATAACTCTTTCTGAATCATCCAATGAACTTTTCAGCCCATAATTCAGAGGTTATTATATAAATTAACAACAACCACTTATTTTTGTTTAAGATTTTTCCAAATCAAGTTATTTATTTCTTAATTTTTATTTGTACCCACATAACTGCAGATTTGATGTATTGCTTTTCCACCTACTCATGTAAATATCTGTCACAAATGATTGTGAATGTGGTACAGGTAAAGGCTACATTTTTGTTGCATCAGACTTAATGTAGCATGAAGAAGAACTGATGGAACTGTAAAATAGGCTA